GCTTCTCAGAGAAGATCTTGAAAGCCGCTCCCTGGAGAAAGGCCGCAATGGTCGCGCCCACACCCACAAGCATCATGGTGATGCAAAGCTCCTGTTCAGGGTCCCTAAACCCTAAACCCTAAACCCTAAACCCTAAACCCTAAACCCTAAACTCTAAACCGCCAGGGTGGCAGGGCTGCTCCAGTCATCTTGGGCCTATCGGGGCCTGAATTTACAATTGGAATAGGGTTTTGGGCCCGACTATACTATAACTGCAATAAGGAACCCCCCAAAATGGTATAGGTACTTATTATAAGTTACAAGGCCCCTTTTTTAGGGTGATGGGCCGGGCCCCAAACAGCAGAGCAGTCATTGGCCTCCATTTGACTCATCATTCCATCCATCATAGCGCTCATCTGTTCCGGAGTCATCGCCGCCATACCACCGGTGGCCCCACCCATGCCGTCGATGAGATCGCCAAAGACGATGCACCTTCGGTGTACTACTGTACTTTATGCACACCCTACGGCCTGGACCGTATAGACCCCCTTCACCCTGTCATGCCGAAACCGTTCCCTTAACCGCATAATTTCTGAACGCTATCATCCCCAAACCCTGCAATCCCACAGCCATGCAGCCCCCTTTCAACCGCATGGCTCGATAAAACCTTGAAGTCCTAAACCCACTCACCTCCCAACCATGGAAATCCCTAAAACCGATAACCCTCGATGTGCCCCAAAATGGTAAAAAAATAACAGGCATATGCGGAGCAAGTCTCATCAGGACCGTCCGCCGACAGCTTAATGAACCCCGCAATCCCCAAACTCTGAAAACCCTGCAGAGGCACGCGCGAGCAAAAATTTGAAACCTTAAACCTTCTAGACACCCTTCTGGAAGCCTTTATGCAAGCCCTTACAGAAGCTTGTACGCTCTAATAGCTCTTCAAGCTCGCGGCAACAGGGGCTGGGACAAGCCATTTCCGATGGCACCTGGCTCCGTTCTACTCGCTACATGTCTGTGCAAACGGCTGGAGGGCTTGATTTAAGCTCAAGGGTTTTGGGTGGTTTAGGAGTAAAAAAGGAATCGATCCATGTAACATAGGGGCCTCAACAACTAGAATAGGGGCCCATTATACTACATTCCAATAAGGTTTCCCTAATGGTGTTAAGGCCCCTAATACCTTATATATACTACATTGCAATGAAGTTTCCCAAAAATGGCTTAGGTGTTGTTTGGGAGCTGCATAGCCCAAGAGGTCTCCAGAGTAAAGTGCGTCATAGTGGGGGGGTGTGGGGTTAAGGGTTTAGGATGGTTTAAGGTTTAGGGTAGTTTAGGATTTAGGGGTTTAGGGTTTAGGGTGGTTTAGGGTGGTTTAGGGTTTCGCGGTTTAGGGTTTAGGGGTTCAGGGTTCGGAGCTCTACCCCGACACCCTGACTAAGCTACACGAACCAGCTTGTTCCCCAGGTTGGGTGTCGGAGAAATAAGGGTTCCTTTACGGGCTCCTATAAGGGATCTATGCGATTTTAGGGTTTAGGGGTTTAGGGTTGAGGGTTTAGGATGTAGGGCCGTTTAGGGATTTAGGGTGTAGGGCTTAGTACGGTTTCCTCGGAGGTTTTTGTGCTGAAATAGGGCGCTAGCCTGCATCTCTGTGTGCTTGAGGAGGTTTTGGCAGGAACCAAGCGAGTTGGGCTCTGGTAATCATAGGGACCCTTTAACGGGAACTCCAGAAAGTTGGAATATGGATTAGTGGTAGGATCCCCTATAATTTACCTTAAAGGGGTTACGATAATGATATTCCAACTTTCTGGCTTCTACTTTAGGGGGGTAGGGGAGGGGGGAGGGGGCCTTAATGCCCAGAATAAGGACCTTATAAGGCCTACTTAAGGATACCCCCCCTCCCCCCAACCCCCCTTAAGGGTCCCTATGAATGGGGAATCCCTTGTCGTGCACATAACATAACTTGGGGTTAGAGGCATTTGGTCCGACATTGTAGAGGCATGATCCTGACATGAAGTCCCTCAACAGAAACGGTGAGGGTTTGTTCTGGGGTCCACACCACCAGTCCACCCTGCGAAAACCTGATCGGAGAGATATCCGCAGAAGACTCGGCTTAGTCACCAGTACTATACCTTAAGGCCTTAAGGCTCCTTCATAACTAAACTATAATCCACCCAGAAAACTCCCCCATGATATATACTATTCCTTAAGGCTCCTTCATATAACTAAACTATAATCCGACTCAAAACCTCCTCTAGTCAATTCGTCACCTCGAGTCCTTCCCACTTTCTAAGCTGCCTAGGCATCCAACGATCAGCACGATCACCTCCAAGCCATCCATCTTGGAAAAGAGCCTGGGTTGTTTGAGGTGTGGGTGTAGAGTTTCGGGCAGTCTGCACCCTACACCTTGAAACCTCAATCGCAAACCCTGAACCCTCGACTGCCGTGTTCAGCCCCAAGGACGGCTCTGTTGTCTCAAGCCCAGCAGAGGAAGTAACAACAGTATTAGCAATAAAACCATCAAGCTACTGTTTTTCTCAGTGTAACCACTACTTGTCTCAATCATGATGGCAAGAACGACTTGAAAACATAATTATTCGACCGGGGCTATTCGGGACGGTCTCACAAGTCTGTTCGAACAGGGGCCAGAAGGGCGTATGGTTTCTCTTGTTCTCCTATGTGCGTCGCGCTCGCTAGCTTGCGAGGAGAAGCTGAAAGCTTCCAGGGACCTACATCGCGGAATGTGATAGCATGCTCCTTCATGTAAAAGTGCTTCAGATGGCTTCGGATAGTCTTTCAAACGATTGCGGGCTGGATCTCTCAGCTTTCCTCATGTGTGCTGTGCTCCACTGTGCTGCGGTCAAACCAGCATGCAGCTAGGTCAAACACTCTAAACTTTTTTAAAGCACAGTTTGGGATACATGGTTCGATGTCGAGGGGAAGCAGACGCACTGCTTCGTCAGCCATGGTAGCGACAACCCTGCGGCGACCCGCACGAGAACATCGAAATGGAACCACGTGTCATGGAAGATCTTTACCTAACTTACCACAGCACCTCCGAGGCAACCTCCAATGCACCTGGCACGCCGGATAACCAGACACCTGGCACACCTTCCCGGTATCCTAACACGCAAGCAGAAGTGAAGCCCAGGATTTGGAACGAAGGCAAGACACTTGCAGAGTGAGGCAGGTGGGATTTTCTTGGGCTTCCTTGGATGCTGGCAAGGACCCATGCGGTGGGTCGAAGGTTGATAGAAAGTTTCAGGATCCTAAACACTAAACTTGACCGCTCATTGATAAATCCCATACTTCTTCGAGGTTCGACTCTAAGCTTCAGGACTAGGCTTTAGGGTTTAGGGTTTAGGACTTACGGTAATCTTGAACAATCCCTTCGAAGCAGGGCATGAGAAACTGTTGAAACATATCACCTTGTAAGGTCGGTACGTTCAGGGTTCTGATGACTGGTTCTATACGGGCTCTATAAGGGTTTAGGGTTTAGGGCTCTAAAAGGGTTTAGGGTTTAAGGGTCCATGTACCAAAATAGTATATACTTCGGCCCCAATGTACCTATGTAGTCTCTTTTACTGTCTACGCGTCCTCGCACACTATCCGCGAACATATTGTTCGCGTACCCATCTGTGGGTGGTTTCGCTGCTCGCACACACCGATCATTCTCTACGGTAGTCTCTCGCTTTCGGGAGGAGCTGCAAAGTGGTGTGGTCGGGGAGATTCGCAATTCAGGGTGGACAGCGGCGCTGGACAACCTGCAAGAAATCGAGGCCTGAATATATCCGAGCGAGGTTTTGGTTCATATCAACTGTACTGTAAGTTGGTCATCGGGATTGTCAGGGAATACAAAGTGTTTATCATCAGCAATTACTCAGACTGCGATATTCTCCAAGGTCCCTAACCAGCCCGAAACTTGCACGTACAGGTCTTCCCAAACACAGGTATAGCATATCAGATGTGCTGTCAGTCAAATGTTGTATATGTGTAAGCATCTCTATGTGGTCTTACCACGCTGTACATGCACATGCAAAAATGCATGTATGCATGTTTCATACGCATATAGATAGACGGCTGCTGCACCAAAAACCACACACACACACACACAAACTGACTGTACGGTGTCGGCATGCAGGTAGCAACATGTGTATGGCTGTTTGCTCTTGATACGGGCATACTTCAGTGTCGCTGTACATGCAAACCGGCGGAGGGACGGACAGACATACGGACGGACCTCCAAAGATAAAAGGTCCTGTAGACAGATGGAGAGATACATGTATGTACGCATGGATGTATGTAGTCTACATGTATGTATGCATGTATGTATGCATGCGTGTACGTGTGTATGTACGTCTGTTTGTGTGCGTATGTCTGTCTGTCCATCAGCCTGTCAGTCTGCATGGATGTTTGTGTGTATGTAGGTACGTATATATGCACGTACGATCACGTACGTCTGCATCCTGTCTTGATGTGGTAGGAAGCTAATGCATGTGCTTGCACGTGGGAATGCACGCATGCATGCAAGACGCGTGAACGGATACATGCGAACACATCCATGTACGCCACTACAATTACAGTCCGTGCATCCGCACATGCAGACGTGCATGTATACATACATGAATGCATGCGAGATTGTCTGGCATATCTTGAACCGAGTATACATGCGTACATATGTACTATATATATATATATATATATATATACATTTTTACATATCAGTGTCCTCAAAACCGGAAACATGAAAACTTGTTCAAATTTGCAAGGTTATATTTAGCAGCTGGAGGCCAGGCGTCGCTTCCGCTTCTGCGGTCTTGCCGGCATCGACCTTGAATGGGCACCGCACTGGCAGGCGGACCAGAAAGGATTAACTTCCCGTTATTCATAAAGCCCAGCCAAAGACATACACCGACCGAATTCCTAAACAGTCCTGCTTGTTATCACTAAAACCCAGTTAGAAACCTACTGCATTTTGGTCTAAGTCTCAGTTCCGCCCAGAAAAAGAGATTCTTCACACAAGCACATCATCAACGCCCACATCTCCCCCGAAGGAGATGTACACTAACTCCTGAAACTAAAACCTCGCCTTCTAAAACCTAAACCCAAATCCTTACCCACTACACCCTCAACTCTAAAGCCGCTAAACCCAGGGGGCCTCCAGCATCACATCGTCGGCGTCGTCCGGAACCTCCGTGTAGGGGATTTGGGGTGTGGGGGGTAAGCGCCAACTCTGTCCGTTGAAAAATGGCGCTAACCCTGCTGCTCCCAGCCCACTTCCTTAAGAGCCCTCCTTGGTTACCTGCCCAGGCGTCGAAGACGGGACCACACCCTGTTTAAAAGAGACAATGAAACTCAGTAAGATAGGGGCCTTCATTATTGGAATGGGGTTTTCGGGAGCATCATACTGTACCCATAATAAGGAACCCCCAAAGTAGTATTGGTAATTATCTAGGCCCCTATATTACCATCCTTCTCGACCCTTCAGACGGTGCCTCAAGCTGGGGCGGAATCGTATACCCTAAACCTTATAAACCCATAAAGCCCTAAATCCTAAAGTCTAAGGGTCTGTATGAATTGTACCTGTCATTGTGAAAACTTGAAATGATGTTGAAGACTATGCCTCGGTGTGGGCCCTCAAATAGGATCCCTGAAAGGAGCCCTTACAGGATCCCTTAGAGGAGCCCGAAGCCTAAACCCTACAATGGGCACGGGCCGGCCTGACTCACATCGTTGTCGACCTTATTCGCCATTCTCCACGTCAATCAATGAAACCTTGCAGCCGAAAGATTCACTTGATTTGGGAGTTTTTGGAAATAGGGGACCCTTACATAGTACCCTAAATAGCAGGATTATGAGGACCCCGAAATAAGGTACCCCTAATTTTCGGAAACTCCCATGTGGGCTCTTCCCACCTGCTCCGCCGGGGTTTGGGATTGAACTTTTAAGCCCTTGCCGTAAACCGTACGGGACATACAACGAACCCCAGAAAGGTGGAACATGAGCTTAGAAGGATTAGTGCTAGGATCCCTTATATTTTATTACTTTAAGGAAACAAGGAGAATCATGTTCCAACTTTTCGGCTTCTACTATAGGTACACCCACAGCCATGGAACAGAAACCCCGAAACTTGAAGCTGCAATCCTGGGCGCCGAATCTGCCTAAATCCCGAACCCGTATTTCCGTCATGGTCGGGATTAGGAAAGTCTGGATCTTAAGACCAAGACAGCAGCTGAACAATGAAACTGCCGGCTCTATGTCCCCCCCAAACCCTACCAGAGCCTACAAACCCTAAATCCCCCTATAAACCCTACTACCCTCATCGAAGCCGGCTGTGAACTTCGGACTACTTTGCCCTACATGCCCCTTTTACCCAAACACTCCCGGGTTCGTAGTAGGGAATACCTATAGTCTCCGTTCTAGTTCCTTTTTGGTTCACCACATTTGGAACATAGGATCCCAACCATAAAATTGGTAAACCAAAAGGAACTACAATGGAGACGAGAGGTATAGGATTGAGGATTTAGGCTGGAATGGGCAGACGGGTTATAGGGACAACAATGAGGGACCTCATAGGATGATCACGGGGATCAATGGCCCCATTCCTTACTAAGAACCAGGGAGCATATAGTATACTTTGATGCCAGAGTATCTGTACAGCAACCTCTTTCCAGGGCTTGGAATGTACTAGGACCCGTAAGGTAATGGGTGAATCAAACTTCGCAGGACTTGCAAACCTTCCAACATGCTGTAGACAATGCTGTGATTCGCTGCCCGACGAGCAGAGACAGATCAACACAGTGAGCAGAATCAGAGAGCTGCTACGTACTGTCGCACACGCTATGGACAACCCCATACTACCACATCCCCACTTGGAGGGTCGGGGGACTTAGTAAGTAGGTACTAAGTAGACTCATAAGTACCCTAAAAGGGAGCCTAATTGGGGTTATGGTACTTATCAGTTACTAAGTCCCCCGACCCTCCAAGCATGGTATACTGCCTATAGCGTTCATGGTTTAGGGCTCCTTGTCGCGAGTTGCTTTGATATCCGAAGCCGGGAAGCGCAGCGGAGCAGCAACACAGGATGATTTTGAGCACTTAATGCTGCAAGGTTAGAAACGTTCAGGTTCCGGGACACGCATACATGCCCAAGTCGAGTGCCGTTCTTAGTAAGAGAACTCTCGCCATGTCTAGTTATATTCCAAACTCTTGTACCTATCCATGAAACTCCATTTTGAAACCCTAAGCCCTAAAACCCTAAACCCTAAACCCTAAATCCTAAACCCTAAACCGTAATCCCTGAAGTGTCGTTGTTCATAGCTCGACCTTTGCAGTGCTAGTGGCTAGTGTGGTTGGGAGATTAGGGTTTAGGGTTTAGCGTTTAGGGTGATTTTGTTTGAGGGGGATGGCAGAACTCACAGAGTGCACTCACAGAAGGCATGCAAGTCCCTCAAAAGCAGATGCAGGGGCTTAGGGTGATTAGGATTTAGTTTTGGGGCCGTGCTTGATCTGGGAATTGAACTAAACCATCTTACTCGGTCGGCTTCTACATTACATGCCATGCCATCCCGCTGCTAGCCTCTTAAACGCCTCAACGAAACAAGCCGAAGCTCAGAAGTGTTGGATGTATACTGCTTCGGGTTTAGGATACGAAATGACCCCTGAGCCTAGAGATCTAGAGGCCCAAACCATCCAAGCTACCAGGAGAATCATAGCAAGCAGCTGACTACGAACAGTGCAAATTACACATCCGTGGGTTGTCATGGACAGGGCACCTACATCACAATACACTGTGTAGCAGCTCAGTTCAGCGACGAGTACGTGGCATAGAAGAAAGGCCCCCCTTCCGATCATATTTCATGCATCCACTAGAATCACTAGTAGCATTTTTAATGCAAGCACTCATACATATATCTACCATGTCCAGCTTCCGACAATCAGCATGTATCGGATCATGCAAACCACTTCTGAACCTCTGCATTCCCTCCGGATAATTACTGGAAGCCTGTGATAGGAGCTTGAAACCCCGGAACCTCAAACTTCAATCCCAAAACCCCGCAACCAAAAGCCTCAACCCTAACCCCAAGGGTCCAAAGGACCCAATAATTAGTTAGTTATTCGGCTTCAGGATAGCAGTTATGTAGGTTAGGATTTTGGAGTGTGCATGAAAGCAACTCATCTCGACAAGGACTCCTGAACCCTGATTCCAATGCTCCTATCGTTGCACCGAACTAACCCATACGTTTGGGCAGCCCTTCCCCAAACCCCTAAACTCTAGACCCTAAACTGTGAAACGCTCAACTCTTACACGGAAATCCTTGAGGACTCACCCGTCCTTGTCCCCAAGCTTTGCTTCCTTCTTAGGCGGCTCCTCCTCTTCGCCTTGCTTCGGGGCCCAAGGGAAAAGGGACGAGGTGATAGGGTTTGCTCTTTGTTGTTCTTGTCTGTTCTAAAATCTTAAGCTCCTTTTTTCCACCTGCCGTATCCTGCTTTGGGCTTCGAGTTTGTGGCTTCGGGCTTAGTTTTCGGGTCTAGAGTTTAGGGGTTATGGGGCTGGAAGCTCCTGTATTCGTCCAGGCTTCGGTGACCTTTCATCACGAAACATGGTGTGCCTGTATTTAAGCGTACTTGAACTTTGAGCCTAATTAGTTGGTATGAACTCTCAATTCCTTCTACAGTCCATGCGGATAGAGATGCGGACCGGTTTGGGGGTTCAAGAAAGGTTGGCACGAAGCAAGTCTGCATGAAGGGAACCTAGGTGTGAAGACCAATACCTCGGGTTTCCACTCCTGGCAAGCTTGAGGCATCGAAATAGCAATAACATAGTCAGTCTTCATAATCATAAGACGAACGATATTGATTGCACTTGGAACAGTAACGAACAAAACTAACACTACAGTACATTGTTGGCATGTAGCAGTCGGATCACACTTATCATCATAACTCTCGCCGTCGAAATCATGTAAACCACGAAATCTATGTGATTCGATTGCACAGCCGGAGCCAAGATATAGGGGTTTCCGAAAATAGCGGACCCTAACATTGGACCCTAAATAGTAGGATCCTTATTCATTTAAGGACCCCCAAATAAGCTACCCCTTAATCTTCGGAAACTCTGAACCCTTATAGAGCCCCTTAGAGGAACCCTTATAGTACCCTTATAGCAGCCCTTTAAAGGATCCTTTTAAAGGTACCCACCCCCCCCCATTTTTCGGAAACTCACATCTCCGAAAAAAAGACCTTCAAATTGCGCTGGGGCTTCACTACTTGGAGGTTCAAGGGTAGTTTTATAAGTGGGGTTATATAAGTCCCCTAGTATGGGTTATAGCGGGGTTATGTTGTAAGTCCCCTGATATGGTTTAAATATAGTTACCCTAGTTATAGCTCTACTTATAAGTACCCATGGACCCAAAAGTACACGCTGGCAGTTCTGCTCCTCAACCATGCAGCTTCATGGTAACAGAAAAACCAACCGAAAAGGGCGTTCTCATCCAAAGTGCTCAGTCAACCCAGTCCCCAAAATCCACAAGCTATGCCCTGAACCTCCCGAAAGCTGAAATCTGAGATCCAAACCTGAACCCACAGACCTTCAACCCGAAGCTTTGGACGGTGCCTTCCGCTTTGCGCTTCTTGTCGTCGCTGCTCATGGCGCCACTACCAGCTCAAAGCGCTGCTGCTTGATTATTTGTTTGTTGTCTTCATTGACAACTGTCACTAAAGTGTTGCCCTCCATGATTTTGCACTCCCTTAGCTTTCTCCTGTTGCTCTATCACGTCTGTCATCCCTGTTGAAGGTGTTGCTGCTGCACTAGCTTCTGAATGTATTTCTTTACTGGATACGTAGGACAGCTATGATGGGCAGCCAACATGATCATGGTAAGTACAGCTTGATCTTGACGCGCGCAATTCTTGGCCTGGGCTCTCTCCGGAAGCAGAGCGTGCTTAAAACATCAGTGACGATGTGACAATGATTTGATACTTGTGTAAAACAGACATACTGCGAGAGAGCAGAAGGAGAAGTAGTAAAATGCGGCCATCAGAACAACAGTAACCATTGCGAATCAGAAACACCACCTGCCATCTCAGTACTACGAGCCGAACCCAACCAAGCATTCTGTTGACCAGCTTGTCAGCTGTCCAAACCGTCGGAGGCTAATGTCAACCGGTTCCATGCCAAGTGCGATCGCGCAAGGGTTCACCACCGGTAAGAGTACCTAGCCCCCAAACCCTACTTGGCACCAGGCCCAAATTTGCGGAGTGTGCTGAAAGTCCTGGCCGGCGTGGCTACTTCCTGCGGAAGATCTGTCTCCATGCAAGAAGAAATCCTGAAACGAATGCGATGTGAAAGATATTTAGACACGCAGGCTGCGTAGCATTTCGCCCCTGCATTTCTGCGTGGCTACAATGGACTGGAACCACGGAGCGCTTTTGATAGGCAGGCCGAGCTTCTAAAACCAAGCTTGCAAAACCCCCTAAACCCTAAACCCTAAACCCCTAACTTAGGGTTTAGGGGTTTAGGGTTTAGGTTTTAGTAAACCCTAAACTCTAAACCAAATGCCAGAGTCTTCGTGCCCAAGATAAACCGAGACCATGTCTCGCAGCCTCCTTCCGATGCATATCATCTCCCTTATGTTGTCGTGTGTGTTCTTCACCATCCGTGGAAAACCTAGTATAGGGGCCTTAATAATTAGACTAGGGCTTTTGGGGCCCATTATACTATATATTATTAGTATGAGTAATCATTAAGGCCCCGATAGTAGTCTGGAGACTAACCTTCCTTCGTAGTTTCTGCTATCATTGTGATAAACCATACTTGCAACCGCACAAAAAATCTTCGTTGTAGAGTCCTGGTACATGTTCAGACTTCGTCCCTGCGTGATTGGTGTCCAAGCTCATTTATACCAAATGAGATGGCAAATTCATCTGTGTCCTGTTTTAGAGTATTCCATCCCTTTAGAGCTCTGTTGCGACCGTTGCTATGGAGCTACAGGGTACAGCTTCTCCAGAATTGCTGCATATGCCACAGTTTCCAGACCCTCCATCGAATCGAAACCGGTATCTTCTCCAACATGTCCGGTATCCTAGGGGGTAAAAGCTAACCTTTGGCATTGTACGGGGGTTATACCCAAACAGCTTAAAGGTTACCCAGTCTACTAATCACTAAGTTCTCGTGGTCCTACCATTCATGGTTCGTCGCGAATGAAGCAATACATTCCGAAGAGTAAAGTTACGGACAGTTACGGTGGTTAACAGGATTCTGGGTGCGGCTTACATGGAGTGTTGAAGAAGCTTAACCCAGTCCATATTTCAGTGGTCTTAACCCGTAACAGAGTCATTACATCGGTCTTCTGTTTGAAGGGCTTTACTCCAGAATCGCTGTGCAGAAGCTTAGGTGGATCACTCCACAGGGATGCAAATTCTGATGCAGTTACGTGTTGTTCAGCAGTTTCCCAAAGGGTCCAAGTAACTGGATTGTATATACTTTCGGGCCCACAGACCTTCTTAGCAACTACTATATTGGTACTTGGACACTTTGGGTTTTCTTCTGCGGGAGTGGATACATTGGAAAGTTCCGCAAAGTTGTTTCCATCTTCGCATGTCGAATTCAAACAGATTCGAGCGCGAACTCGCACAGCAAGGGTCAGGTGGTTTAGGGTATGGGGTTTAGGATACAAAGCCACAGCCGTCATAGCAAATGCAGTTGTTTTTATTGTAAAAGCTGTATGCTCCATGCACAACGCACGCTGACCCTGCCCATTCTACTATAAATATGATAAGCAACCCCGAAAAGATCTAAGCCCCTATAGTAGGCCCCACACCTTGAATCCCTAAGCCGGAAAGCCCAACACCTTCCGTAAACGTCGCCAGCAAAACGTCCCAGGGCACAGCTTCCCCGGGAGCATATTTCCGGGTCTTCCCTGGCAGTGGCTTTGGGGTTTCGGGTTCAAGGCTTAGGGTTGAGAGTTTGGGGATTTAGGGCTTAAGGTTTCAGCTTTGGGGTTTGGGGTTTCGGGTTCAAGGCTTAGGGTTTAGGGATTTAGGGACTTAGGGTTTCGGGTTCATGTTTTCGGGTGCTTCAGCTGCAAGGGCCAGCAAGGATCCTGCTGCTTGCGGCCTGTGCCTAAGCCGTAGGCTTGGAAGTGAAGTGGATAGCTGCCTGAAACTTCCTTGCCTCTAAGTTTAAACTCAACAAAAGTTTCCACGAATTCTCCAAAACTCCAGCAACAAATCGAAGGAGAAGCAGTCGAGTGCCTAAGGCTCGCTACATCAGGCCCCTGAGGGCTTCGAAGTAGATTTCAACAGCGTGCCCAAACCACGCCTTGGAAAGTTCAATGTCGTCCCTTAACCCTACTTGGAGGTTCATGGGTACTTATAAATAGGGTTATAAGTAGGGTAACTATACTTATAACCCGTATTAAATTAGGGGACTTATAACCCCACTTATAGCTACCACTGAACCTTCAAGTATAAGCCTACACCCCGCAACCCCAAACCCTACGTAGGGATCCTTCGTATGGGCTAGGAGGGCTACTTGGGAATGTCTCGGGTCCGTACAATGACGATTCAGCAACGAAAGGTCTCTCTTGGGATCGCTTCTTTTCTGGAATTCCCATAGATGGCGCTAGCATTTTGGACTTCGGGGCTGTGTTGTGAGCCGAAAATTGCCAAGAACCCTAAACCCTAAACCCTAGCAAGCAATGCTTCCGACATGACTGCGGCAGGGTTGTCGGATACGCTGGGCTCTAGTGATACGTGGAGCAACCGTGCTACTGTTTTCTCTGGCATGTACATAGATATGAGTATGTACATTGCGGCTCTGTCAGGATTTCTATACCAGATTTTTACGGAGTTTCCACTACACGCCATAACACCCAATATGATCCAATATGTACACCGTCAAAATTCTGAAGAACTGCTCACAGCAGCACCATGATGAGCTTTTTGATAAAACTCTGTAATCATCACTCACGATCGTCTATACTATGGACAATACAAAGCTTGAAGGGCAGATTGTATTGTGAGGGTGGTGGCTTGCAGCATCAAGACTTTTAGGGTTTAGGGGTTTAGCGTTTAGGCGGTTTAGGGTTAGGGGTTTAGGGTTTATTGCACACTGAAGGATTCGGATTCATCGCGAGCTCCGGGAATACAACAGATGGGTGGTCAGAGCATCATACACATCTCAATCCTCCAACCCGGACTCATTGTCATTGTGGCAGGCCTTCCCAGGACATCTGGCTGATCTCCTTGAACAGCTTCTGAGCCTGCTTTCAGTTGTTCGCAATCCTACTTGTACAGTATCCTGGGGGAATTACTGGCCTTTTTCGGGAATATAGTAATCCAAAAAAGTTAAGGCAGCAGGGTCGAATTAAGAGCTCAAACTTCACGTGGGGAAAAACTTCGAAGAGATCCGAGAGGGACGGTCAGGAAATTATATGAACTCTTCAACACTCTGGTGAGAGGGAGAATCAAGGAATCAATAAACTCTCGGGTTTGGTTAAAGGTTACCTGCTCTACTACGACGAACGTTTTTGCAGCACAGACTCCAATTCTGGATCTGCGGATCACAAGTGTGCCCCTTGTCGCCGAGGAACTTTTAGGTGTGCAGGCCTTAGCTAGCATCAAGAAGAATGCCTGTCAATCCTGAAGGCCGTGATTTCAAGCCAAAAGCAACCCCCCAACTTGGAGGTTCATGGGTAGTTAAAAGTGGGGTTCTAAGTAGACTAACTATACTTATAAACCATATTAGGGGACTTCTAACCCCACCCCCCAAAAACCTCCAAGAAGGCCTCATCGATGCGACCCGCGTTCTTCAGCTTCAGCGTTGACACCTTGCCGTAGAGCGGCACCTGGGCTCTGAACTTCAGGCAGACCCAGAGACCCCAATATCCCTTAATCCAGGGGGTTTAGGGTTTAGGGTTTAGGGTTTAGGGTTTAGGGTTTAGGGTTTAGGGTTTAGGGATATACCTTAAACTATAGTGGGGATCCCTATTATGACTTAAGGCATATTCCTGAACAAAGGGATATTGGAGTCTCTGGAGAGCTGCAGGGGTCGAGGATCTCCCTGATTTTGCAACTCTCGATCCCCAGGGCTCCAGTTACCTAAATCATGGGTTACTGGGTTATAGTTCGGTTTAGGGTTTTAGGGTTTGGGGTTTAGGGTTTAGGTTTAGGGTTTAGGGTTTAGGGTTTAGGGTTTATAGGGCATACGATTTTTTCAGCACCTGGAGCCCTTGGCTCTATAAGGGACTATTTAGGGTACTATATTAGGGTCCCCCCACTTTCGGAGACGGCCATATGTTGTAGGGTTTGCTCAGGGTCTATAGGGTCTAAGAGTCTAGGGCCGGGTGAGGAGAGGTGAGGGCTCGGGGAGATAAGATTTTAGTTCAGGATACGCCCCCGGGCAAGAAAGGAACCAAATAGTTAAGCTCTATCATGTTCTATCTCTAGCGCGGAGATCTGCAGCCAAATACTCTAAAGACTCTGAATCACCCGCCGTAGGGTGTTATACAATGTATGCGAGGGTGGGCCTTACAAGAATTTCAGTGGCGTTGGCAGTCAAGTTTCGTGGCCTAAACCCCCAAACCCTTCGGGTCGTCCCATACTTACACTCAAAATGTCTTCCACTCCAAGGCCACAGCAACATCCAAACCTATTGCAATGTAGTCCGGGTTGATTATTCAGCCAACTCTGAGCCATCATATGCTGTGATTAAACCTCACGCCTTTTACCCTGATCCTGTGGCTCGCTTACTTGTCTACCCACATACGGTGGTAATCATTGCAGTAACCGCTATCGTAAATGGCAACCCTGACCTCGCGAAAGCCCAGGTCTACTTACTTGGCCGCGAAAGCTAAACCAACACGCATCCTTGACCTAATTCGCGCCCAACCTTCATGCCCAACAGGTTAAAGGCTGCCTACTCTACTACCAACCCACCTAACCCTAAACCCTATTTAAACCCTAAATTCTAAACCCTAAACCCTCAAACTGAATCGGTCAAGCTGCGCATCGACACTCCAGCTCCGACTTCGCATCGAAATCCTTCATGCAGTCTGGGTGAGCCATCCTCGCGCTGCTGGTTTTTTCAGCTCCTATGGGTTTTAGGTTTATAGGCTTGGGGTTCAGGGTGTCGGGATAGTGCTTTTGAGTTGGATGTTTTTGTTATGTTGGTTGTTTCTTTTTGCTTTTTGCTTCTTGAATGCTCTGGCTTGTTTTTTGAAGGGGGGCTGTGGTTTAGTGTTCAACAAATTGGTGACACGCACGCCGGGTGCCGCTGAATTAGTTTCTGGCTTTGCTGTGTTGTAGGGTTTGAGGTGCCAGGGTTTAGGCTCAGAAAAATGAAAAGAGGGCTTAGGAAGGGAGTGAATCATCGAACCGCTTCTGACAACCAAGTCAAGAACCCAAGTAAGCAGGAGCAGTAGCCTCAGCAGTAGAACTCGCTGCCAGTACCAAGAAAGCAATGAACTAAGCACAACACGCCAAAGGTGAAGACAACGAGCATGCCGAAATGTAGAGAGGTGTTGGCAGTGATGTGAACAAAGAGCTCCAAACCCTAACTCAGCCTCTATTTATAGAACCATTGCCTATACCTTTGCGGGGAGTCTTTTCTGCAACTACAGTATAAATACCGACCCAAACCCTATTCAAAATTGTTAAGGCTCCCGTTGTAACAAAGACCCTGTGCAACCCGATGCAAGGTGCTCTCGTAGGCCCCCGGCAACTTCTTGGCAAAGGCCACGCCTGCATGGATGAAGTCGTTATCCCGGGTCTCCTGGGTTTAGAGCGAGGTGCACAATACGGGGTTATTCATAAACAGAATAGGGTACACTTTGAAGGGTCCTACAAGGGTTGCTATACGGGTTCTATAAGGGCTCTATGATATGGGGCCTTGGCTTAATTAATCAAAGCGGGCTCTGAGGCATATTCTACAGTAAGGACTACAACGGTCAAAGGTCCAGCCGAGCAAAAAGCGGGGGGAAATACTGATTGTAGTTGTACTGGCTCTAAGTTATAGCAGTCCGTACTGAGGCGTCCGATTACGACGGCGTCCGATTACGACTATAGAGATTCAGGACGGTCGAGAATTGATTAGGGTATGCGAACCTTGTGCGTGTAGGGCCTCGGGGTGAGGGATTAAAAGCTCAGCGATCTTGATGTGAAGCTGGCGGATAAGGTTTCGGGCCATACCACGAACTCAAAGCTCCAAACTTTACTTCGCCTCAGAAGAGCATGCAGGCTCGGAGGGCTTAGGGGGTCTGGAATTAGTTTGGGTTTTTTTTTTTTTTTTTGGCATTTTTTTTTTTGTGGTTTGCTTGGCCGTGTTGCATTGCCTTGCAGGGCAGCATCCTCGAGCGTTCAAACGCGAGGTAAAGTTACAAATTTTGCGGGCGCCGTGCAACCCTTCACAGGGTTTGGGTGCATTGAGCTGCATTTTGCAACCCTTCACAGGGATTGGCATTTTGCAACCCTTCACAGGGATTGGCATGGTCGAATGCACGAACGCTAGGTAAAGTTGCATTTTTTGATGTGCATTGAAATGAATTTTGCAACCCTTCACAGGGATTGGCGTGGTCGAGTGTTCGAACGCGAGGTAAAGTTGCAATTTTTTATGTGCATTGAGATGAATTTTGCAACCCTTCACAGGGATTGGCGTGGTCGAGTGTTCGAACGCGAGGCAAAGTTGCATTTTTTGATGTGCATTGAGATGAATTTTGCAACCCTTCACAGGGATTGGCGTGGTCGAGTGTTCGAACGCGAGGTAAAGTTGCAATTTTTGATGTGCATTGACATGAATTTTGCAACCCTTCACACAGATTGGCGTTGTCGAGTGTTCGAACGCGAGGTAAAATTATTACTTTTGATGTGCATTGAGGTGAAACTTGCAACCCTTCACAGAGATTGGCGTTGTCGAGTGTTCGAACTAGTACTAGTACTACTACTACCACTACCACTACTACAACTATTATTACTACTACTACTGCTACTACTACCACTACTACAAAAGAATACTACTACTACTACTACCACTACTACTACCACTACTACTGCTACTGCTACTACTGCCACTACTACTACTACTTTATTACTACTACTACTACTACTACTACTACTACTACTACTAGTAGCACAACAACAACTACAACTACTACTACTACTACTACTACGACTACGACTGCGACTATGCGACGACGACTACTACTACAACTACTACGACTACCACTACTATCACTACTACTAGTACTGGTACTGCTAGTACTACTAGTACTACTACTACTACTACTACTACTACTACTACCACTGCTGCGACATAAAGTGACCATGCATAGAGTCATAGAGTCACGTTGAAACCACAGTAATCAGGGATGTCTATATAGTGAGGTTCCGGAGCTAGGAAAGGAAGATTTCTGCGTCATGTTGGACTATACCCTAAACCCGCTAAACCTGAACATTAGTGTTCATAGAGTGAACTACATCAAGTCAAGTGCGTGGTACATAGATGACTCCATGATTCTATGACTCTATGATTCTGTCTCACTGTGACTCTATGACTCTATATGACTCTATGACTCTTTGAACTATGACTTGTGCTTGACATGTACTCGACTTTATTTCTCGATGACCCTATGAACTATGACTTGTACGACTCTTGACTGTATGTGACACTCCGACTCTGTGACTCCGTGCTTTTGACTCGGTGACTCCATGACCCTATACACTGGATTCTATGACGTAGCGCAACACTCTTCGCTGATGATGCTTTCGGGGTTGAGGGCGTGACTTAAGGACTGATTTATGAGGCTCCCTATGCCGAAGAAAAAAGCCAAGAAGCCGAAAAGCCAAGAAGCCAGAAGCCAAGAAGCCAGGGAGAATCAAAGCAACCCTGCACGGCTTAAACCAGCGGGGGGGTTGGGGGGGGCGCAGCCCCCCCCATTTGCAGAGACAACGTTCACATGATGGGCCGAAAACACTCTTTGAATCAAGCTTGCACGTCTCGAAAAGCGCGGCGGCGGGTGTTTTGTTCTTCCGTGCCTGTTCGTGTCTCTTCTTCCGTTAGCATTCTAACCTAATATATATAACATAGTAAACCAGAAGAACGACATAAGATGGTTCGACAACACAAAAATGGTGTGACATTTTCTGACATAACAGAACCTTGCTTCTTATAGCATATAATAGCATACTAAAAAACAATACAATATAACAGAAGATGACATAGAACAAAACAACATCTTAGTTTATAGTGTAGTACATTGTAACATAGTACAGTACAGTGTGTATATTTACAACATAATATGTAGCATATTTTATAGGTTACATTTACATTATGTTATATTCTGTTACGGTACATTACGATATTATGGTAAATTCGAGTGGGCTATGTAGTATCCTGTTGCTTGTATCTTTGTTTCTGTGATTTTTTCATATTCTTTCTCTTTCGTATTTTCCAACTTTGCTTTTTTATTATGGACTTCTTTCTTTCTTTCGCTCGTTCATTTCTTTTCTTTCTTTCTGTTGTTCTTTCTTTGTTCATCTCATACTCCCTTCCTTTCTTTCTTGCTTTCCTTTCTGGTTTGATTTATTTCGTTCTTTCTTTGGTTCGTTCTTTCTTTCGTTCTTGCTTTCGTTCTTTCTTTCGTTTTTGCTTTCGTTCTTTCGTTCTCTCTCTCGTTCTATCTTTCTTTCTTTCTGTTTTCCTTGTTTTCGTCCTCTTTAGATACAGCAATTTTTGAATTTTTCCCAGGGGAAACACTGTTTTCATACGGATTCGTTTTCATTTCCTGAGGATTTGCTTGGTTTTTGGTTCGGGAAAACACGATTTTCCTACGGATTCCGTGGTATTTCCTTAAGTTTCTTTCTTTAGTTCTTGCTTTCGTTCTTCCTCTTGTTTTTGCTTTCGTTCTTTCGTTCTCTCTCTCGTTTTTTCTTTCTTTCTGTCTTTCTTTCTTGCTTTTTAGATACAGCAATTCTTGAATTTTTCCAAGGGAAAACACTGCTTTCCTAGGGATTTTCTTTCGTTTCCTAAGGATTTGCTTGGTTTTTCCTGGGGAAAACACGATTTTCCTACGGATTCCGTGGTATTTCTCTAAGTTGTCAACTCTCTTTGGTTCTTTCCTTGTGTTTTCTTTTTTCTTTCCTTGTAGCTTTCTTTCTTTACTTAGTTCTCTATTTTTGTTTTCTTTCTTTACTTATAGCTTTCTTTATTTACTTATTTCTCTGTTTCTTGCATGGCTTTCTTTCTTTCTTTCGTTGTTTCTTTCTTTCTTTCTTTTGTTCTTTCTTTCGTTGTTTCTTTATTTCTTTATTTCGTTCTTTCTTTCGTTCTTTCTTTCTTTCTTCCTTGCTTTCTTTCTTCCTTTCTTTCTTTCGTTCTTTCTTTCTTTCCTTCTCTCTCTCTCTCTCTGTCTTTCGTTCCTTTTTCCCCTTCCTTTCGCGGATACCCGTTTAATTTTTTTTTATCCTTATTTAATTTTTTTGATCCTTATTTAATTTTTTTTTGATCCTTATTTAATTTTTTTTAACCCCTATCCCGCTTTACTGACCTAAATTCGCCTCGGCTCGGCTTAGGGTTGAGGGCGTGACTTAAGGACTGATTTATGAGGCTCTCTAATGCCGAAGAAAAAAGCCAAGAAGCCGAAAAGCCAAGAAGCCAGAAGCCAAGAAGCCAGGGAGAATCAAAGCAACCCTGCACGGCTTAAAACAGCGGGGGGGTTGTGCAGAGACAACGTTCACATGATGGGCCGAAAACACTCTTTGAATCAAGCTTGCACGTCTCGAAAAGCGCGGCGGCGGGTGTTTTGTTCTTCCGTGCCTGTTCGTGTCTCTTCTTCCGCTAGCATTCTAACCTAATATATATAACATAGTAAACCAGAAGAACGACATAAGATGGTTCGACAACACAAAAATGGTGTGACATTTTCTGACATAACAGAACCTTGCTTCTTATAGCATATAATAGCATACTAAAAAAACAATACAATATAACAGAAGATGACATAGAACAAAACAACATCTTAGTTTATAGTGTAGTACATTGTAACATAGTACAGTACAGTGTGTATATTTACAACATAATATGTAGCATATTTTATAGGTTACATTTACATTATGTTATATTCTGTTACGGTACATTACGATATTATGGTAAATTCGAGTGGGCTATGTAGTATCCTGTTGCTTGTATCTTTGTTTCTGTGATTTTTCATATTCTTTCTCTTTCGTATTTTCCAACTTTGCTTTTTTATTATGGACTTCTTTCTTTCTTTCGCTCGTTCATTTCTTTTCTTTCTTTCTGTTGTTCTTTCTTTGTTCATCTCATACTCCCTTCCTTTCTTTCTTGCTTTCCTTTCTGGTTTGATTTATTTCGTTCTTTCTTTGGTTCGTTCTTTCTTTCGTTCTTGCTTTCGTTCTTTCTTTCGTTTTTGCTTTCGTTCTTTCGTTCTCTCTCTCGTTCTATCTTTCTTTCTTTCTGTTTTCCTTGTTTTCGTCCTCTTTAGATACAGCAATTTTTGAATTTTTCCCAGGGGAAACACTGTTTTCATACGGATTCGTTTTCATTTCCTGAGGATTTGCTTGGTTTTTGGTTCGGGAAAACACGATTTTCCTACGGATTCCGTGGTATTTCCTTAAGTTTCTTTCTTTAGTTCTTGCTTTCGTTCTTCCTCTTGTTTTTGCTTTCGTTCTTTCGTTCTCTCTCTCGTTTTTTCTTTCTTTCTGTCTTTCTTTCTTGCTTTTTAGATACAGCAATTCTTGAATTTTTCCAAGGGAAAACACTGCTTTCCTAGGGATTTTCTTTCGTTTCCTAAGGATTTGCTTGGTTTTTCCTGGGGAAAACACGATTTTCCTACGGATTCCGTGGTATTTCTCTAAGTTGTCAACTCTCTTTGGTTCTTTCCTTGTGTTTTCTTTTTTCTTTCCTTGTAGCTTTCTTTCTTTACTTAGTTCTCTATTTTTGTTTTCTTTCTTTACTTATAGCTTTCTTTATTTACTTATTTCTCTGTTTCTTGCATGGCTTTCTTTCTTTCTTTCGTTGTTTCTTTCTTTCTTTCTTTTGTTCTTTCTTTCTTTCGTTGTTTCTTTATTTCTTTATTTCGTTCTTTCTTTCGTTCTTTCTTTCTTTCTTCCTTGCTTTCTTTCTTCCTTTCTTTCTTTCGTTCTTTCTTTCTTTCCTTCTCTCTCTCTCTCTGTCTTTCGTTCCTTTTTCCCCTTCCTTTCGCGGATACCCGTTTAATTTTTTTTTATCCTTATTTAATTTTTTTTGATCCTTATTTAATATTTTTTTGATCCTTATTTAATTTTTTTTAAACCCCTATCCCGCTTTACTGACCTAAATTCGCCTTGGCTCGGCTTAGGGTTGAGGGCGTGACTTAAGGACTGATTTATGAGGCTCTCTATGCCGAAGAAAAAAGCCAAGAAGCCGAAAAGCCAAGAAGCCACAAGCCAAGAAGCCAGGGAAGCCGAGAAGCCAAGCCAAGCGCACACACAAGCCAACAAAAAAAAAAAAAATGCAAAAAACAAAAAAAATCCCAAAATAAATACACCTCCCTTGGGTTTAGTGCGAAATGCTCAGCATTTCAGGATCGCAAACGAAGCATGTAGCTGTTGGCACACTTGGTGGAAAGGGCTCCCCGAAGTATACGGTATGGTTTCTGAATTTACGAACCATGCGTGGATGCCCGCATCTCCCCACAAATCGTTGCGGAGAAATAGCATCACCCTTGGCGCTGGCTTGGGTTTTCGGGCAAGCACTTCAGTCTAGGGATGGATTTTGCGCGTGGTCTGGTGTTGTAATTATGAACATTCTTATTACGACTATTATGATCATTAGATGTGGCCTTCAAGCGACTGGCTCAGAATCTCAATCGTTGGAGGCTTTGGCTGCGAGAACCCGTCTCGAAGGCGGCCGGATGCAAAGCACGGATATTAGGCTGTCTCCTTGTCAAACACGTGGTCCACTGTGTCCAAGTCGAGGAGGAGGTGTGTCATGTTTTTCAGCTCCCAGTAGTCCTTCTAGCAATCCAAATGCTTGGACAATTGTAATGGTTTCTCAGTACTGTCAGCAGCAGCAGCAGAGCAGCAGCAGGAGCTGCAGGAGCAGGAGGAGCAGGAGGAGGAGCAACAGCAGGAGAAGCAGCAGTTGCTAGTCGTAGCAGTCCTATTGGTCGTCGTTAGTAGCTGTAGCAGTCATAGCAGCAGCAGCAGCAGCAGCAGTAGCCCGTCGTCGTCGCGATGGTATGATGATGGCGAAGTCGTCGTCATCGCATGAAGTAGACGAAAAAGCAAGCTCGCAGCCGCGAGGGTGTTGACGGTGACCAGACGCAAAATCGACGTCTCGATTTAATGACTGTCACAACTAGCAGTGGCATTGATCTCCTCTCACACCAGCTGCCTCTGAAAACAAGAACTCCACATAGTTTGCAGCACTCACTACCGGGCTACCGCGAAACCGCTATCGTGTTCTTGCAAGCACAGTGTGAGCAGGAAGAGAAGGAGCAAAGGGAGCCTCGGAGGACTCGAGGATGGAGTTCACGCAATCCAGGGCATTCCTTGTGGAGGGTACGGTTCCTTGCCTTTGAGATTTCTTGTAGGAGCCTGATTCAGACACCCTGTCCCTATAACCCCAACATACTTCAATTCGTGTTAAGAACCCTATAAAGACCCAGACTTTCTTAATCAGCTTCCTGTACTAGGGTTGAAAGGCTCTCATGGAAGCACGACAGTGCCCGAGGTCTCGATCTGCTTTGGAGATCTTGGTGCCCTCCACAATAGCCACATTGCTTTTTTTCGATAGGAAGGACCGTGATTGAGGGAAGCCCGAGACCCTTGAATGACCCTGAAGCCCTTTAATCCAGACCCCCCGGAGGAGCTCCCATCACAACAATGCTCCCGCCAACTCCGCACCATCAATCGGCTCACGTATCCCTAAAATACCCTAAACCCTAAACCCCAAACCCTAAACCTAAACCCTAAACCCCAAACCTTAAACCATAAACCCCAAACCCTAACCCCTTTGGGGACCCAGTTGGGGAGGGCTTGCGGCTCCAGGGTTTGAGATTTTCAGCCTGGGTTGAGAAGCTGTGGATGCGAATCACCGTGGCAAAACGGCACATACACAAAGTGTATACAGTAGATAGATAGATAGATGGATAGATAGATAAACAGATAGATAAAAGAAACATAGATAGATAGACAGATAGATAAAGATAGACAGGCAGATTGATTGAGTGATTGATTGATTGATTGATTGATTGACTGACTGAGTGATTGATTGATTGATTGATTGATTGATTGATCGACTGGTTGATTGACGTGCGTATAGTGTGTGTATATATACATAAAGATATGCATGTTTGTATGTCTGTGTACATATGTATATATATATATATATGCATGCACATACAATATACCTATATGTATATATATATATATATATATATATGTATGTATGTATGTATGTATACAGATACTAGACTACATTGTACGTACATAAATAATATATATATATATATATATATATATATATATATATGTATGTATGTATGTAACATACACATATGTATGTGTACGTGTATGTAAGCGTATGCATCTAGCGCCCCTATAGGCCTGAGTAGCACCATGTCATGTCATTGTTCCATCTTACGGGTGTATATCTACTTATGCAGGTCTGAAGGCGTACGCCGGAGCATGACAGTAACATCTACCGGGAGCTGATGGCCCGGCGGCCCCCAAACCTGCCGACCGCCGCTTCGTCAAGACGATTTCGAGTTGTTGGAATGCAATCGGTGCTAGATGTGCTGAACATCACTCAGAAGCTCTTTGCTCGCCACGAAACCTGAACCCCACGAACTTGACCCCCCCAGTTCTCCGAAAATCAAAAGGCAGGTGGCTGCCGCGCGCTGCTGCTGTTCCTGTCCTGCCAGCGAGGTGAACGGAGACTTGCCTTTGTCATCATGGTGGCAACCCAGGACGCAGGCATCGCTTCATATCTCTTATCACCACTCGCCTTGACCATCATGAATAATCACCACCATCAAAACCACTGTCGCATTCGCCAGTAGAGTTTTGCGGTAAACCGAGTCCCTGATTGCCACAGCAAACCACCCGAGCCCTGGGGGGATCCCAGCATTCTCCCAATGAGCCAGACCATGTCCTTCAAGAACTGCGAGAGCTCAGTGACGCAAGGGTGCCTGCACCATAGAGCCGAAGAAGAGGAGCTGTAAGAACGAATAACACCAACAGCCCTGTAGGTTAGAGGATGCACCAATATTGGGATCACTGAAACTGAAATACCGGCTCAGCGGTATAAACTCTGAATCAATTAAGATCGGGGCTTGGGAGGGCAGGATGCTTCAGGTCAGTACTATAGCGGCCTCAACAATTGGAACAGGGTTTGGGCTATAACTATACAATAGATATAAGAAGGAACCCCCCAAAATAGTATAGGTAATTATGAAGGCCCCTATACTAAACCCTTTTAGTACCCTTACAGGATTCCTTAAAGGAGCCCTTTAAAGGAACCCTATTCTAATGACTAAGGCCCTGGAACCCTGAAAGCCCTATACCCCCACACCCCTTCTAGTACCCTTTATGGATCCCTTGTAAAGACAGCTGATCTAGAACCCTATTATAGATCTCCTACAGCCCCTTGAAAGGACAGTTCTCCTGGTTATTACGGCAAACCCTGAACCCTAAGCCCCTAATGTAGGGACCTTAAGAATTCGAATAGGGTTTTGGGGCCATTATACTATAACCATGATAAGGAACCCCCCAAATAGTATAGGTAATTATTTAGGCCCCTATAGTAAACCCCTTTTTGTAGCATTCGGAGCCTAAGCTCGCGATCGGCACAGTGCAGCTGCTTCGCATCCTTGGCGTGGCCAAGGGGACCCCGAATTCGGGTTTCGAGTTTACCGGTTTAGTGGTTCAGGGTTTAGTATAGGGTTTAGGGCTTCGAGGTTTCTTCTTCAGGGTTTAGGGTTGAGGGGTTGAGGGTCATGTCTTGCCTACAGCGACGAACCATGAACTCCTGGCAGGCTATCGGGGTGCTAGTATGCGGTTTCGGATTTGGGGTTTTTAACATGGATGAGACCCTGAACCCTAAAGGGATTAGGATCTCATGTTCTAGATCCAGGCATGACTGCTCTTGCATTGTGAGCCATGATGAGAAACCCTTAACCCTAAGCCTTAAACCTAATAGATCTGTTATAGAGTCCTTATGGATCCCTTTACACGAACCCCTATAGACCCCTTGAAAGGAACCCTAAAACCCCATCCCCACATCCAAATAGCCCTAAACCATATAAGTCCCTCACAGAGCCCCTGTGGATCCCTTTACAGGAACCCTTCTAGACCCCTTCAAAGGCCCCTTAACCCCAACCCTTAAACCAAATAGATCTCTTATAGAGCCCTGATGGACCCATTTAAAGGAACCCCTGCAGATCCCTTTAACGGAACCTCATCCCTACATCCCAATCCCTTCTCGGGGCCCGCTCGTGCGTGAAGAGCGCATACGGGGCTGGGCTCTCGCCGGACGCTGCCTCGGCTGCTGGAAAGAGTTCTATAGGGATTCCTTTACAGGGATCTCCATAGGGATTCCTTCACAGGGGATCCATAAGGGCTCTATAATAAAGGATCTATATAGGGTTGATGGTGTCGGGGTTTGAGGGTTTGGGGCTTTAGGGTTTAAGGGTTTAGGATTGGGTTTGGAGGCTTCAAGAGTTTCCTGTCGGGATTCTTGATAAGTTGTCAATCAACTGCTGTCTTAAGGTTCACGGTTAGTTCAAACTTTACTCCTTTTGTTCAGCTCGCGTTTCGATCCCAGAGTTTAGATTATTAGGGTTCAGTTTAACCAGCTTGATCCCCAAACCGTGAAATCGAATCCTAAACCTGACAAGCCTCTAAACTCTAAACCTCATGCATCCCTGGATCCTAACTACATCCGAAAACCCTGGTGAAACGGGAGAAGTTTTCTGGAACCCAAAGAACCGCTCTAGAACCCTAACACACCTGCACAAGACTCTACAAACTCCAAACTTTTTCAGATCGGCTTAGGGTTTAGTGTTTTTGGGGGCTTTAGCGTTTCCCCTGAAAAAGCTGGACCCCAAAACTATGACCCCTCGCAAAACCCCTAGAATACTCGATATACCCCCACAGCAACCCCATACCCTATAAAGATTTTATGAAACTCTCAACCCTAAACCCTACCACGACCACCACGACCACCAAGACCACAATCAACAGTGCTGCTTCGGACATCCCCATAGACGTCTGATCATCATGGTCATCTTCATCATCATGGCCATCATTTCCCTTCTTGGCAATAATACCCAAACAGTAACAACAGTAATGAATGCGCGTAATGCAAGGACAAGCATTGAATTTATGAAAGCCCTCAATCCACCCCAAGCCCTAAACCCCAAGCCCTAAGCCTGAAACCCTAAGTAAGCCCACGACCCTATGAAACTCTATTCTAGTTCGCGACCCTCATTGAGTCCTGGGCCTCACTGTCGGCCTGCTGGCCGAAGAGGCGTCCTGGGTTGCAGCTGGTCCCTAAACCCGATAAAACCCTATAGGTAGACCTCAAACAAAGCTGGCCATTGGCAGGCCGTGTCAGGAGAGCATTCGAAACAGTGACGTCTCAAAGAGAACACTTGCAAGTTGGATACAGTGATGCTTAAATCATACAGAAGTGTCGGCGAATCCGTTGGTACCCATGACTCCCGACAACGAACTCAATCCATGTCTGCGCCCATAAAGACGCCCACCCCGACCACATCCGCAAACATGTCGTTGCTGCTACTTCATCTGCGGTTTGTTTTAATGTTTTTGATCTTGTGGTCATTGGCTATTGCCGTGGTTGCTTTGCTGCAGTTGTGGTGGGTGCTGCTTGATTTTGCACTTGCTGTTGATGAACGTTTGTTCTTGCCATCGACAATGTTGTACATGCCCTTGGTACTTGGTCCCTTCTCACCTTCTCTGTCAGTCTTCCGTGCTGCCCGTATCGGGAATAGTTGACATTCTTTGTACATTGTTCGCAAGGTCCAAAGGTTGCACGAATATAATGTTAATGTCCGTTGACATGCTTCTTTCTCTGCGATCATAGTCGTTGTTCCTCTGCTTACCGTTATTCTCGGCGGCGCTTGTGCGACTGCTGCTTCAACTAGCCATCGCAACTATGACCAATATGATTTCAAAAGCTGCTTCGAGTAGTCGAATCTCTTGCTGTTCCAAGGGCTAGTCTGCTGGTCTTGCTCACCATATCGTCACAGGTTTACCATGGCTCTTGCTCTTGTCCCCCGTGTCCATGATTGATATCGGAGGGATCTTTCTGCCTGTGATTGGATCGAACCCAGTGAATTTTAAGGTTTGAGCATACAAGCAACACCGAAAGCACTACGGATTGAGCCTCCAAGGGTAAAAGGAGGGACCCTTAACAAGGACCCCTAGGTATATACCCTTAATATAGCCATTATATACCCATTATATAGCCCATTGAAAGGTAGGGGTCCCCATTCAGGGTCCCTCCTTTTGCCCTTTGAGAGCCCAGGTCTGGCTAAACACTACCCTAAACCCTTTTGAGTACCGTCTTCTTCGAGCCCAGCAGCCAATTGACTGAAAGAGGTCGAAGCCAGCAACGAGCTGGCAGGAAGAAAGCAAGACCTGGTCCGGTACATATATATATATATATATATGTGTGTGTGTGTGTGTATGTACGTCTGTATGTATGTATGTAGGTGTATATATATATACACACATACACACGCACCTTTGTGTATATATATATATATATATACACACATGTACATATATATATATATACACACACATATGTATTTGTACATAGGTTGCTGACAAGCATAGCTTTCTTTGCGTCTGGGTTGATAGAGCCTCTCTATCAAAAACCTATGCTACAACTAGAACTACCAATCCTTGTTTGCTTACATAATCATCCCTCTGAGAACTGCTATGAACTGAATGTAAACAACTCTCATCCCTTCTCAAGGTTCCCCATTGTTCCCTTAACATTAGGTACTCTTGTCCTGGTCCTCACTTTGCTAAGGAGGGTACTACTGGGGAACTTAGTCTTCAGCGGAACTTCAGGTTTAGGATTCCTGAAGCTAGGATGCCCAGCAACCTAGGATCAAAAAGGGCCCCCTTTTTGGTATTGGGTACCTTAATAAGGAACCTAGGACTACAAAAAGGGAATTAGGGTACTACTGGGTATCCTTCTTACTGAAGGACTCGGCGTTGAATCGCACGACCATAAAACCTCAGATTCAGCTTGGAAAAGCGGAGTTTCGGGTTTCAGGCGTGTGGGCATAACCCAGCATGTTCCGGGCACCTGAACCCCGCCCACCCTCCCTAAACCCGAAACCCTAAGCCCTAAACCCTAAACCCTAAAGCCGCCCACCCCCAAGATGCCCAAACCGAATCCCGCGCAGCTTTGGGCCCCCGACGATTTGTACAAGCATGGCACCTGAGATAAGGTTTAGGGTTTAGGGTTTAGGGTGAAGAGCTTGCAGACATGCTTCAAGGTCACGGCCAACCGCCTGGGACCTTCAAACACTTAAGCCCGCAATGCTTCAGCCGACACACCTCAAAAGCCAAACCATAGCCTAAATCCCTGCGTAAGTAACCCTTCGTGGGTTTGCGGTCTTGGGAAACACATCGTAGCAAAGCACTTGCTGAAATACTGAAACTTAGCGTTGGACTTGCTAGTTGTCCAGAAACTAAAGGGTTTCGGTTTAAGGGCTTCCTCAAATACCCCCGACGCTGAGCCTATACCCTCTCCTCTAAACTCTGGTGCAGTTCTCAGGACTTCAACTTTCTCGTGGATGTCTGCTCACTACCTACTTAAACCCCCACCTCTTTAGTAGGGATCCTTGATAGGATTTCCTCTTTAACGTCCCTAAAAAAGGCAGGCTCTGGAGGGTCCAGGTAATCCCTAGAGTATGCCCTACCTCATGTCCAGTATCCTAGGGTACTTTATAAGGTTAACCTTTGACCTTCTAGTATTCGACTCCAAAAGGTGAACAGTCTAGCTGCTAGTAAACCTAGATCCCTAAACCATGCTAAGACTCCCCAAGCAATTCCTCGACATGTTCTTCGGAGTCTTCTATAATCTGGACCCAAGAGTAACCTAGGAACGAAAAGGGTGCCCTTTTTGGTTTAAAGGGGCTTATAAGGGAACCTGAACCCTAAAAAAAGGGAACAAGGGCCTACTCCAGGTCCTAGTAATGGGTATTTGGGATTTGGCGTTCAGTAGGGCAGTCTCGAAACTGGTCGGTAGATGGCTTCCCAGAGACTCCAATATCCCTCAATTAAGGAATATACCTTAAATCATATTTTATGAAGGATCCTACTATAATTTAAGGTATATTCCTTAATTAAGGGATATTGGAGTCTCTGGCTTAACAACAGGGGCTTTTCAGCTGAGCTAACGACATCGACAGCTCTATCGTCAAGCACTCATTCTGTCAAGATTGTTCAGACCCCGCCGGAACTCGCCATGCATGCTTTAAGAGCTCACCCAAATAGTATATACATTGGCCTTAATGTAGTCCCGATTTATGTACATTGGGGAAAAAGTATATACTGTTTGGGTACATGGACCCTTAGGGTCACAATCATGGACCCAAAACGCTTAGCCCTACATCCAAAAACCCCCGAAGGTCTAGACCGTAAGTTCAAGCCCTATACATCCTGAACCATAGGTTAGGATTTAATTGAAAACCCTAAATTCGACGTGCAAGACAAAGGAAACCGCCTGGAGAAGGTCATGATGGGTTGGGTCTCGGGTTTAGAGTTTCTTAGCTTCGGGTTTAGGGTTTATATATAGCACATAGGGTTTAAGCTTAGGGTTTATATATAGTATAGGGTTCAGGTCCAGGGTAAAGAATAGAGGGGGAAGCCGAGTCCGGCACGCATGGCCATAGAAAGCTGGAAGCAGGAGCACCTGCAGCCTGAACCTACCTGGTCAACTCACCCCAACGTCTCTACCCCCTAAGAAGGCCCTAAAGTCGGAGCACTGAATTTTTTCATATGAGAACTTCAGAATGACATGTTTGGATGTCTGCCAGGCTTGCCGGAATCGAGCCCAAGCGGGCAGACATCGGGGCGGAGCCACGGTGCAGAGTTTGGGTTTGACGGTTTTACTCTGAAGCCTGCTCTACTTGGAGGTTCAGGGGTAGTTATAATGGGCTAATAAGTCCCCTAATATGGGTTGTAAGTACAGTTGCCCTACTTATAACCCTACTTATAACTACCCCTGAACCTCCACTTAGGTCTCTGTCAGTTTGACTAAAGGAGCCACATGCCCTTAAGCCTAAACCCTAAACTCCGAAACGGTGGGCGTTTGCAGCAAGAGGGGCGCGTCAATGTTCCGTCCAGGGCATTTCCGGGGTATATTTCTTATTCCGGGACCCGATGGAATACTATTATCGGTGCCTTTCGACAAGGAGCATACTCTTTTAGGATTCTCTGCTAGCAACCCTGATATCCTCTACTGAACTGGAGGGTGCAAGGCTACCGCTCTCCAAAACAAATCCTAATACAGGGCAAACACGGGCTTCAATGTACGAAGTCGGATGCCGCTCCTCAGCAAAGAAAGGCTCTCACATGACCCGGAGTCCAAGCATGCAAAGGCTTCGGGCGACGATGGGCGGTGCGGCATGGACCCTGCGCGCATACCAACCATACAGTAAATCCCATAGAGTTGGTGTCCGGATTAAGGCCAAATAGTGCTGGGATTCCTTATACATGACTCTTAAGGATTGAGGCTACTATTGGGCTTCTCCTTTAAACCCCTGGACTGAACCCCGCATCGTGAATCCCAAGACTCCGTCAAACACGTACACTAATATATCACATATTCTAAAAATTTGTACCAATGTAGATGAATATCGTTTTTGAAAAGACTCAAAAGTCAAAGAAACAACGTGACACTTTCAGATTCAGCCTAGACCGCACGCCTAAACCCCAAAACTCGGCACAGTTCCGGAACCCATAATATACACAAACCCAACAAGTCCTCTCAACCCCCTCTAGACCCTGGACCGAACCCTAAAGCCCCATTTCAAGACTAATGGGTTTAGGGTTTAGGGTTTAGGGGTTTAGGGTTTAGGGTTTAGGGGAGATTTTCTTTTTCTCTTCACCTGCACCGGATCAATCTAGCCCGGGCCGCCCCCCAGGCAGTGTAAACACCCCTCACTCCACCTGGCGGTATGGGTTCCTTTATGGGTTTATATACGGGTTTGAAAAAGGTTTCATAGGAGTTCCTTTAGGTTTAGGGAAGGGTTCTGTCAAGGCGTCGTAGGCGTTCAGGGTTCCTTAATAGTTTGCTAGGGCTTCTAAGACTTTTGGGTTAGTGCGGAGGGCAAGAAGGTTAGGATTCGAGGCATTTCGAGTTGGACTCCTCTACAATTTCGATGTTATGTTCCAAGACTCTGATTTTTTTCATGGGCCCTTTTCCGTCTGCACTTGCGTCCGAAACCGGGTCCGAGGGAGCCTGGTTTCCCAACATCTGCAAACCAAAGGGTTTAGGGTTTCAGCGTTCAGGGATCACCCTGAAAACAGTGCAAGAACATCGACGGATCTGAGGGTTTCCAGCTTATATAGTACAAGTGTGTATGGTAGAGTACAGTAGAGTAGAGAATAGTATGCTTTTGAAGAGGAATCAACAATTACAATTAGCGGTGGCCCTCTGTTAAGTGGAAGCCTTGAGTCAACTAAACCCCTAAGCCTTCTAAACTTCTACCTGGACCCGAAGGAACCTACCTTTTCTAGGGCTCCCTACTATAATTTCTTTATATAAGTCCTTGAAAAGGCAGGTTACTGGGGGTTAAGGTAATTTTTGCTCCAAGCTACACCATCAAGGCCTAAGGAAAGCCAGCAGTTATAATTCAGACCCGCCAAAGCCGGCGACGAGAACCAACAGCGTGCGTGCCCTAACTCCACTTCTAATCCCTAAACCCAAAGCCCCTAAACCCTAAACCCGAAACCCCTAAACCCCTAGGCCCTAAACCCCTAAACCCTAACCGCTAAAACCCTAAACCCTAACCCTGGGAGGTTTTTGACCCTGAGCCCTATGCCCCGAAAGTGTAGGCTTCTTTGAGTAGCAGTCAAGGCTGGTTATTTGTTGTGGAGCCCTGTTTCATCTGAATGGTGCTTTGGTAAGCGCAGAACCTTAACCCTAAACCTCGGTACCTGTAAACCCTGAGCCCTAAGCCCTAAACCAAGGCATAAGATTCGAGGATCTGTCTTTGCGGAATTTCGAGGCTCGAAGAGCTAAACCCAAGACTCCAAGACCTACAAAGGCTACTTTGTTTTTTTCGTTAATGTCGCCGCGAAATGAACTTGAGGCGGGCTGGGGGGGCAAGAGACTTTAGTTTGCATTTAGTGCTTCAGAAGCTTGAGGGTTCAAGGCTTCAGAGGGTTTAGGGTTTAGGGCTTGGGATTTCGGATTGAAGGTTTTCAGGTTTGAGGGTGTAGAGCGCCTTGTATGTCTCTGTCTCTCTGTCTGACGTTATGTATGGATGCAAGTTGTATGTAGTATGTATAAGCTTATGAAGACGTATATCAAAAAACGCGATGGTATCTTTGCATACACCTAAAGCAGAAGTAGATAGATAGATAGATAGGGAGACCGAGATATGGACAGATGGGTAGATAGACAGACGGGTAGACAGACAGGTCGACCGAGTTGGATCAATGGATGGATGGATGGATGGATGGATGGATGAAGGGATGGGAAAGGGCATGGGGAAGGGGATGGGGATGTGGATACCGGTATTGAATGTATTCACGAATAGGCAATTAAATGGGTCTACGACATGGGTAGATGAAATGATGGAAAGATACAGTCAAATAGGTCAAGGTACGAAGAAACATATAGAAAGATGGTCAGATGGATAGGTAGACAGATAGATACGCGGATCGATAGACAGATCAATAAACAGATGGACAGATTGATACATTGATAGCTGGATCGATTGAAAGCCAGATAGATAAATCGTTGGATAGGTCGACAGATACATAGCTACATAGATGGGCAAAAGGATAGATAAGGGAGATAGATATTTCAAAATTTAGGTAGATAGGCAGGGAGAGAGAGAGAGAGAGAGAGAGAGAGAGAGAGAGAGAGAGAGAGAGAGAGAGAGAGAGAGAGAGAGAGAGAGAGAAAGAGAAAGAGGGAGAGAGGGAGAGAGAGCGAGAGAGAATCGAGAGAGAGTCGAGAGAGAGAGAGAGAGAGATACATAGATAGATCGAAAGATGGACAACGTAGGTAGGTAGATAGAGAGGAAGACAGATACATAGATATGTAGGCAGGTTAGTCAGGAAGTACATAGATGGATGGAGATAAATGTAGGTGCATAGGTACAGAAAGAAAGATATGTAGAAAGAGACTAATTGCATAGATCGATAGGTAGATGGGTGTGCGAAGCTGGATAGACAGACAGACAGAGAGACAAATCCAGAGCTGCGTAGGCACAACACCAACACAGGTCTATACCTCAAGCTCGTCCGCCTTCTCCTTACGTCATCTGGCGCGGACCGCATGCTTGACCTCCCCCACGGTGCGGAAAAGGTCCTTGAGCTCCTGGCATCTTGGGAACTCGACGGGATTGTGGGCTTACCGTGCATGCTATTCCTGCAGAGACGACGATAACGACGACAACTGATGTACATGCTACTGCTAGTAGACATACGTGTATGTGTGTGTATGTGTGTGTGTGTGTGGATATATATATATATATGTATACATATACATATACATATACATATCCATATGCATATACATATACATATACATTTTTGTATGCCCATGTGTACAACACGGCTGCTTACATACATACATGCATGCCTGCGCATACACGCACATACATGTTTGTATCTGTATCTGCGCAAAAGCAAATCGAGAGAGAGAGAGAGAGAGAGATAGAGGAAGAGAGACGGAGACAAAGAGGGAGAGAGAGAGAGAGAGAGAGAGAGAGAGAGAGCGAGATAATCTACAGTGGCAAGGACAACGAACTGTCGACCACCCTTCCTGCCACTGCACGTGTGGCGGCAGGAAGTTTACAATCCTGAGCTGCTGATCGGTTTAGGGCTTAGGGTGCGGGTTGTAGGGCCGCGGTTTTGCTCGGGCTGTAGGGCAGGATTCAGGAGACAAGGTCCCGATGATGAGTGCGAGGTGGCTGCCGGCTTTGCGCGTAAATCCCAGTCGCATTATGTAGCCCCGTCGTGTAAAGTGACTGGCCTCAGCTCCTGATACTTGAACCTTGAGGAGGACCAGTGAGGAGACGACAAATCTCGCAGGTGCTTTCTAATTCGACGAAACCTCCAAACCCTAAACCCTGAACCCTAAAGCCCAAAAGCCTAAACCCGAAACCTCTAAACCCTGAACCCTGAAACCCTAAAGCCTAAACCCGAAACCTCTTTAAAACCCTAAACCGTAAACCCTGAAGCCCTAAACCCTAAACCCCTAAGCCCGAAACCCTAAACCCCTAACGCCTTACACCTTCAAGGCTGAACCCCCACAACCAAAGCCCTAACCCCCTAAACCCCGTTTGTGACTTTGCTTCGGGCTTGGTGGGGCTCTATGGTTCCGGCATTTCAGGCTTGAGTTAGGCTTTAGGGTTTAGGGGTTTCCTTTAAAGGGATCTCTATGGGTTCCTTTAAGGGCTCCTATAAGGGATCTATAGGGGTTTAGACTTAGGCTTTAGGGTTTAAGGGTTTAGGGGTTAGGGGGTTCAGATGAGGGTTTAACAGAGATTTCAAGACCCTACCAGTTTAAGGACTTATGTAAGGGCAATCATGATATGGTGGGTATTTGGGGTGAATGCCTCGGGATTCAAGCTAAGGCTTCAGGGCTTTGGCTTTAGCTTCGAGCCGCGCCGGGGTTTAGGGTATGGGGTTGAGGGTTTTATAGGGTCTAATACAGGGTTTGGGGGCCCATTATACTATAGATAGAACAAGAAAATACACCAGATAGTATTGGTAATTATTCGGCCCCTATATTGTTGGTTAGGGTTATGGTTTCAGATTTATAGGCTCAGAGTTCAGTGTTCAGGGATTGACGATTCAAGGGTTCGGAGCGGGAGATTGTGTTGCAAGACTTCCGGGTAAAGGGTTGAAATGTTCGACTAAACCCGAAACCGTTTTGGGAGTAGAACTTGTTTTGCCGTGCACGACTCTATCTCCAATTGACGCAACCCTAGATCATCAAGGGCCGGCCTTAGACGCAAATCTCCGTTCTCTGAAACCGACAGCATGTGCAGACCGCGGCGCAGCTTTCGGAAATCGTTCGATGTCTCATCCTCAACACGTAGTTGGCTTCAAGGCGGGGTTTTGGACAGGGCATGGCAACGGGTGGGTTTAGGGTTCAGGGTTTAGGGTTTAGGGGTTTAGGGGTTTAGGGTTTAGGGTTTAGGGTCGAATGTCGGGCTAAGCTTAGGATGTGAGTACATGACGTCAACTAAACGAGCTCAGTTGCAGAAGCAATCGTCGTCCTACTGCTGCTACTACTTTTACTACTACTGCTGCTGCTACAACTCCTACTACTACTACTACTACTACTACTACGACTACTACTACTACTACTACTACTACTACTACTACCACTTCTACTACCACTACTGCTGCTACTGCTATTGCTACTGCTAGTGCCGGTGCTAGTGCTAGCACTGCTGCCAATGCTAGTCCTACTACCATTGCCACTGGTACTGCTGCCTCCTGCTCTGCTAACGCTACTAACCATGCTAATGATTCTACGACTACTAGTACTGGAACTACTAGGCACGACTACCATCAATGCAGCAAGCAATACTTTCTTCTGACGGTCGTTCGAGTAGCAATTGGAGCTGTCCTCGGGCTGGCACTTCCTGTGATCACCATGAACATCATTAAGCTTATTGCGCATCAAAAACCGAACTTTCATGAATAGTGCTGCTGCTAACGACGGTCATCACATAGGCCTTAACTCTGAGACTGTTTACAGCTGCCAACTGCAATAAGATCAACTATCGCGACGGTCATCACTGTGAGAAAAGTATCAGTGCCATTGGAAGTCTGAGGAATCATGGCAAGATTCGTACAATATATACTCATGTCATGAACGATACGTGTGTGTATTGATCTACAGACCCAGGAAACTCTCCCAAACCGTAATACTCATTCCGAATAATACAAACACTCTACATTCTACTGTGTAGATGCCTCGGACACTTTGGGGAGATCCCGAACCTAGAGCCCCAAACCCTAAACCATAAACCCCCAACCCCTGAACCCCTAACCCTAAACTTCAAACCCTAAACCCTAAACCCTATACCCTTATAGAATCCCTATAGATCCCTTTAAAGGGACCCTTAAAGGAACCCTTAGGGCTTCGGGGCTCGGGGGCGGAAGAAACTTTGAAGCTGCCAAGGCAGGGGCGATCCGCACGGAGATCTCCTGCTCCGAATGCGGTTTAGGGCTTAGGGTTTAGGGTTGGCTCCGAAGCAGTCTAGTATAAAAAATCACAAGGACCAACGCAGGCTTCGACCTAGGTCCCTTCCTTAAGGACGACATGAACCCTAAAAGGGTTTAAGGTTCATATACCATATAGGGATTCATAGGTTCCCTTGATCCTCATGGGGAAATGAAGACCTCCTGCCGCTGAGACGATTGAGACAACAGGACATCGAAGGATATCTCCGGCAACGCAGAGGTCAGCATGGTCATTAAAGCTCTTCTGCAATCTCAGATGTACCCAAAGACATGGATGGGCCATCTTCCCTCCTTCGATGCTGTCAGACACCCAGTTCTACACCTATGAAGCCGGACGTTAAGTTATCAGGACCTGTTTCGGTTTAGGTTCACGGTTCACGGTTTAGGTTTCAGACCTGTGGACCACCACACGGGACCAGTAGTGGATATGTATGTATCATCCTTTCTATGTGTATATATATATATATATATGGTATATGGTATATATATATATATATATATATATATGTATATGTATATGTATATGTATATGTATATATATATATATATATATATATATGTGTGCGTGTGTGTGTGTGTATGTATCATATACATATAAATAAAGAGGTACAAGCAAAAACAATATCAATATATATATATATATATATATATATACATATCTGTGGGCTACTGTAGGCATCCACTCTCCCGCTCCGTTAGCCGATTGTTCTGTCCCAATGTGAGTAAGCCTAACCCTGAACCCCAAGCCCCAACTAACCCCCTAAACCCTAAATCCTGAGCCGCAACCGGTAGCTTGCTGTACATAGATCAAGGGGCAACTTGTGTTTCACGGGCCTGGCCATCAACCTCGGCACCATTGAGCTGGTTCACTGCCTGGTAGTCACAGAACTTTGGGTTCGTCTAGCTGGGCTTAGGGTTTGGAGTACCGGGTTTGGGGTTCAGGGTTTAGGATTTAGGTGGAAGTTGCATACTTCGACAGCAACGCCAGACTGCGACGGGCAAATGTCTGAAAGTCGGCAACATGCGGAATTCCCGACTACTGTGCCAAAAAGCCCTGAACCTTGAATCAATATCCTGATCTACCATAACCGTCAAGCCGGAATGGAATCAAGCCGGGCATATGCAACCCCTGTCAAACCTACGAAACCATAACCACCGAAAATCCAAAACTCCAAAACTCCAAACCCTACGCGTGTTGAAACCCGGCCATTTCCAAAGGGGGGACGCCTCCTCAGCCTCAGCGGGCGTGGCCATCCAGACCTGTCCATGCTTTCATAATTTCTGAGGAGTCTTGGCATCTGAGTGTTTAGGGGTTTGGAGGGTTTTTGACTTTCGGCTTGAAGGGTTTAGGGTTCCAGCGTTTTTGAAACCGTTTGCGGATTTTACAGGGCGAAGGCGGCTTAGGGAGGGTATATGATATATGCACCGCTGAGGGTTGAAAACCCTATACCCCTAAACCCTGAACCCTAAACTCTTTTTGGGAGGCTGAAGTAAGACTGCAAACGCCCTAAACCCTAAAATCTCTATGAACCCTAAACACTAAAACCCTATAAAACCTAAACCTGTAGTTTGGATTTAAGGATCTCTATGCCCACCCCCAGGGCCCTCCCTCACTGCGTACGCAGAGAGGCCCTGGGCTCTGAATCCTCAAACCACTCTGTAAAAATCCTAGGCCTCCGTAGAGTAGAAGCCCCAAAAGTTGGAACCTCGATCCTTAAAAGTAATGTATAGGGAATCCCAACACTGTTTGGCATTAATCCGGTTTCCAACTTTATGAGGTTTACTGTAACCACCAAGCCGAATATGACGGTCATAATGATTGGAATACGCCTTGGAGGTATACTATGATGTACGATACTTATTTCTAGACTATACGGTGATACTATTTTATATGAAGCATTCCGAGCCTTGAACCTCTATCTTCAAGGTCTATCTTCGAGGCCAGACAGCTCCAATGCACTTCGATCCGAAACAAAAGCCCCGATGTCTTTGGGGCGGCTCCTTCTTATAATTCTGGTATAATGGGCCCCAGAACATAATTCTAGATATTAAGACCCCTACGTTAAACAGCACTGACCTCTGGGAAGTTTCGATCGAGCACGAGCAGGTGCCAAGACCAGAAACCCTAAACCCCTGAACCCTACCAGGACCCCCCCAAGGGCCCTTTAATAGAGCTTTTTATGGTCATCAATTAACAGTAGGTATTTGGGGTATATTGGAAGGTAGTTGGGGGGTCTAGGTAGATTAGATCCCAAAACCTCTAGACCCCGAAACCTCAAACCCTAAACTCTAAATCCTTAAACCCTTCACCCTAAACCTTAGCCAAGATCCAGCACTGGAAATCACGAACCCTCAACCCTCAACTCTGCCGTCTCCAGCTTGAACCCGACGTCCTTGATATGCAAAAGTGGCTAGGTTGTTCTGTGTTTGAAGGCCTTTTTGAGTCGGCTTGAGCGTCCCAACCCGATTGGGCAGGCTTTCCGCAACATAGGGCCAAGGATTTTGGGGGTTCGGCTTAAGGATAATCTTTTTGACGTAAGATTTTGTTCAGGATGTTTCGGATTTAGAGTTCCGGGGCCACCTCGCCAGGCCCGAAGACGCCAGCGTAGGCGACTTCTCCACACTGGGCGAAGTGGCCCTTCAGCCTCGAGACCACAAGGAGAACACCTCTTGCTACTATTTGCTTAAGAACCCCCAAAAAATATAAAGTATATTCCTTATGGGGGTAATATAGGGACTATTATTTTTTATTTTTGGGGGGTTTCTTAAGCAAATAGTAGCTTGTTTCTTTAAGTTCTTGATTAGCCCTTTCATAATAAGGGTAGACGTTTGAATTTTCCTAGTATATGGTGTTGATGAGGGAGCCCGAACAGAAAAGTGCAAAATGGTACTGCTGGGGGAGCTAGTTAAATTAAAACACGATGTAGCACTTTACATCCGCAAAAAAGCATAACTACTGTACTTTTGTACTATTTACGATTAGACTATTTACCATCATGCCATTCTATCACAGTCAAAGACGTGGACTCTGCCACCTGAGCATTGTCTTCGTGTCGGCAAGCATGGGTTCCACTTCCTTCGCGCCGCCCACCACCCAGCCGAAGATGGGACGGTCAACCAGATGCATCCAATCGTATCTGCCACCTGACTTGATTCGAGTCTTGTCTCGACAGAGGTCATATGCCGCCAAATCGGCAAACTGAAAGACTCTGCTGAACCGAACCACGCCAGTGACGCAAGCCTGCATTTGTGGCTTGCTCGCCAAGCTGCTCCTGCTCCATGCGGCCGATGAGCTCTGGGCTGAGCTTGTAGCCCCGCTCCAAGAGGCAGTCAGCATCTTGCGTGGAACGCCGGCCCGGAGTCTCGATGAGAAATAGGTCATGGTCCTCAATGAAACTGCGGTTCCTGCCAAGCGGATATTTGCAGACCTCGATGGTTTTCACCCCGGCCAGGATGAGCCGATTCCAAGGATACTGAATGTTGATGCCGTACAGTTCTAGAGACGATGAAGCTCGCAGCCTCTCCAAATCTGCCTCAGCATCCTCCTTGCAAGAACGCTGTATTCACGCGCTCTCCAGCCCGCGCCATGCCTAGCGACGGAGCCGATGTCCGACAAGGCGCACTGATAGAATCTTTACGACTCAGGGTTTAGGTCAGGTTTGTATAGGGTCCAGGGTCACCTGTAGAGAGTTTGGGTCAGTATGAGTTTAGGGTGAGGCATGCCTTTTAGGACCCAAAATTAGGTCGGGGAGGAGGGTTCAATACACATTCATAGGATTTTTATGCAATGTAAATTTGTACTTATCCATTCTATCCTTCTGTATCCAAACCCCCGACACTCTAAACCGTACAGGGAATTGGACGAAATACGGCTGAACAACCTCAAGCAGTGACGAAACGCCTCATTGCTGCACAACCTTGGACATACGCGAACACCTACTTGTCCTACTCCTGACATCTCCCCCCCTAATCTAAACCCGTTTTTGAAAGCGGGGCTAATTTCAAGGTGGATTCGGGGCAATGTGTCTTTAGTATTAGGGGGAGCTTAGTAAATGGGGGAAGGGATTAGTAATCTATACTGTAGCAAGACTTGGCAGCAAGACTTGGTAAGGCATAGTATCGATAATCTGGGGCTTCTTGAAATTAGAGCGGCCCTTTAGCGGGGTATGATTCTTGAAAAAGAACCCACTATGTAGAGTCTATGTTGCTCAGTTGTCCAAGCATCCTAAACAAACTTAAGGCTGACCTTCCCGATAATATCAAGATCATACTACCCACAAAAAATTTTAAAGTGCACCTACTCTACTACCAATAAGCCTGAAACCCTAAACCATACCCAAACCAACCAAATACCCATAGACATGGGATTCGGAGTCCTGTGTAGCAGGTATTTTGGGGTTTAGGGTTTCGGGTGTATAAAACCCTAAACCCTAAGCCCCTAGAGCCTAAACCCTTAAACCCCTGAACGTTAAACCCTAAACACCGCTTACAAGTCTCATCAAGTTGCCGCAGCACAACAATGGCATCAAAGCTTACTCAAGATCCACGAACTTTCACTATTTACGAACCTCTAAACCCTACACCCCTAAACCAGAAAAAATCCTAAAACCCCTAAACTCCCGAACCTTCACCCTGAACCCCCCCCCACCCACCATCCCAAGCCGCTCAAAGAAAAACTCACAAGCTAGGTTCCGGGCTCCTGCCACTCCACTCCGGCCTAGCTTCTTCTGCTTTTGGGTTTAGGTTCTTCAGGAATAGGACAGTTTCTCAAAGGTTCACGGCACTTACCCTAAGGGTCCCAGGGACCCAATATTTAGGTACTCGGTTTTAGGATAGTAGGGGGAGTATATGATTATCAGGTACTTGGACCCTTAGGGTTAGTAGCTCGGGCTGTAAGTAAAGCATAACCCCTGTAAAAGTACGTGCAACTGGGCTTACTAAGACTCATCAACCACCACTCTCGGACCCAGAGAGCCCAATACCCCTTAATTAAGGAATATACCTTAAATCATATTAGGCATCCTACTATAATTATTAACGGATATTGGAGTCTCTGGGGAGGCCGAGGGCTCCTCCGTTCCCCCCAAAAAGCTCGAAACGTGATGATATTGAAGGGTTACTATAAGGGTACTACATGGGTTCCTTTAAAGGGTTAAGGGTACTACAGGGGTTCCTTTACAGGGCTACTATAAGGGTACTACAAGGGTACCAAGTTAGTCTCTATACCTTCATATTGGGCAGGATCTTACTCCTGCTCCGGGCCTTGCTCCAGCTCCTGCTGCGGCTCTTGCTCCTGCTCTTGCTCCAGCTCCCGCTGAGGCTCCTGCTCCTGCTCTTCCTGCTCTTGCTGTTGCTCTTGCTTGCTCTTGCTCCTGCGTTTAAGCGGGGATGGTTTTAGGGGTTCGCCGAATATGTGTTTAGTATCAGTGATTAGTGGCTATTGAATCAACGGGGGAAGCGACTGCTCGGGAAAGCAAGCCCAAGGCCCTGCGACTTCCTTCTAGAATCCCACATCAAACCTAGCATAAGAATCAGAAGTGGATGACTCCATACCCTGCAAACAGAAGCTGCCACGCGTTATCATGAATTCAAACAGCCCACTGTGGGGCCAACGAGAATCCAAGATGTAGCAGTAGCAGTAGCAGTAGCAGTAGTAGTAGTAGTAGCAGTAGTAGTAGTAGTAGTAGTAGTAGCAGCAGCAGCAGTCGAAGTAGCAGTAGCAGTAGCAGTAGCAGGAGCAGGAGCCGTAGCGGTAGCAATGGCAGTAGCAGTAGCAGGAGAAGCAGCAGCAGCAGTAGCGGCAGCAGTAGCAGTAGCAGTAGCGGCAGCAGGAGCAGTAGCAGCAGCAGCAATTTCCGGCAGCAGCAGTAGCAGGACAACGATGATGATAATTGTGATGATGGTGATGATAATAATGAGTATGGTGACATGATAACCAGAAACAGCACCGCACCAGCACAAGTCGCAGCAGCACAAGCAGCATCACCACCAGGCACCACCACAGCCACCCGCCACCAGCGCCAGCACCAGCCGCGAAGGCATAACTATGTTGACTCCGCTTGCTCGAGCAGAGCAACCTGAAGCAAAGCGCGAACATCTCATGGTACAGAGCCAACTCGGAGGCTGCAGAAACTTAACTGCGGCGACTGCCTTTGCATGACTCGTATGGCAAGTAGGTGCACGGACCGCAACCCTAAAGCCCAAGATGCTGAAGCCCAAGCCTAGGCCTAGACCCTGAACCCCTGGCACTGAAGCCTAGATCCAAAAGTTTAAACGAAACACGTTCGAAGTCCTGAAACCTTGAAACCTAAATACCAAACTTGAGAGCATGAATCGTCAATCCTCAGGCCTAAACCTACATCCTAGATTCTAAAACCTACCTCCTAAACCTTATTTACCCTAACACCCTGAGCCGCCCACCGGCAAGTTGGAAATCAGGAGCTTGGTTCCGTCCTGCGACCTGGTTGGGCAAGAAGGAAGGATTTCGAAGTTCTGGGTGGCAGGACCATACCTAGGGGCTCATACCCTACCCCTTTTTTAGGACATCTAGCTTTATGGTAGGACCTGTTATCCAGAAAAGTAGGCGCCCTGAAAAAGGGGTAGGGTATGAAACTCTAGGTAATCTAGGATGCCCAGTAACCTAGGAACAGAAAGGGCTCACTTTTTGGTATTGGCTCCCTTGATACGGCTTACGGCACCTAGGACTACAAAAAGGGAATACGGGTACCCTAAACCCTAAACCCTTAAAACTAGGCTTTCGGATCGGAGGCAAAGGTGTGGCTTGCAGGGTCCGGACCCTAAACCCTAAATCCCTAAACCCTTAAACCCTAAACCCTTAAACCCTAAACCCTTAAACCCTAAACCCTGAACCTCTAAACCCGAAACCGGTCTCTGCGCCGGGTCTGGGGGAGAGTTCCCTGATCGGGGTGGTGATCGAAAACAAGAGGGCACCTTAGGGTTCCTTTAAAGGGATACTGTAGGAGTACTATAAGGGTTCCTTTAAGGGGCTCTATGAGGGTTTAGGGTTTCCGACAATGAGGGGTACCTTATTTGGCTTATTTGGGGGGTCCTTATAATGACGATCCTACTATTTAGGGTACCATGTTAGGGTCCCCTATTTTTCGGAAACTCCCATATTAAAGAAGCAGGGGTTACAGGCCAGGCTCCGGGTAAAGGTCTCGGAGCTCCGGGTAAAGGTCTCGGATGATGCATCAACTGGCTGTCCACGGGCGTTTCAGTACACTCGGATGGTTGATGGCTCTGTGCCGCTTCAGAACATACTTAGAAGAGCTTGGCATCACGGGCTCCTACATCTATTCATCACCTTACAGTTAATCTGCAGTGCAATTTCAACTTATGTTGACCTCAGATCAGCAGACAAAACTGGTACGGTACAAACCCTATACTCTAGAGGCTAAAGCCTGGATTTACATGAGACGCACCACCCGTCCTTGGTTCTGATTCTTTGCTCCGCAACATAGCAAGCAGCACCGAGACAAGTACAACTATGGGAGAGTGAGCTAGAACAATCCTCCATCTGAAGTCTCACAACCCGACTTCCCAAACCCGTCTGCACATGGGAGTTTCCGAAAATTGGCGATACCCTACTTTCAGGTCCTTACTTCAATAAAGATCGTACTATTTCGGGTGCTATATTAGGGTCGATGTCGCCCACTGTCGCCCTTCCATGAAGCTCCTGAAGCCATATGCAAACCGCCAAACCCTGAGCCCTGAATCCCAGAGAGGTGTGGAGCCTAAAGGATCTGGATACGTAATCATCATGCACTCCCTTACACACCAGCCTAATTAATGCTAGTAACCCTCAACCAGATACCTAAATATAGTAGTATAAATTATTGGGCTCCTCGAAAAACCTACGACGGACAGTAGTCTAGACCCCGAACAGAAGCATCTTCAGTGCAAGAGCCTCACCCAGTCAACAATGCGTCCACGCTCCCCCGAACGCACGCCATAAACTCCTCAGACGACGTCGAAGACAAGCTCGGATACTTAAGGCAAAACCTTTGCGATCAGAACCTCGCAGCACGACACTGATCGAAACCTGGAACTCAAATTACGGCTTGCCCCAACGGAGGCGCTGAGAAATAACCACATGTTAGATCACAAGCCTCGCGCCCACAAAGCCCAGGCTAAGCGCGACGACCCCCCGCCACTCCCAAATCCCAAAGCGAAAACATGCTATAAACCCTAAACCCGAAACTTAAAAGAACGGCTTTAAGCAAAAACATGCTATAAACCCGAAACTTAAACAAAAACAGCCTTAAACCCAACAGCTCTGGAGCCTGGAATCCGCAGTGACCGAAATCTGGGCCCCTGGCAGTCTCAGAGCTGTCTATTCTTAGACTAATCCGTTTTTTTGGGTTTTGGGGGCTTGGGTGTAGGGTTTAGGATCTGTAGGGCTTCAAGTGTATAGGACTTACCCTAAGGCCCCAAAGTAGTTCCTTTTTGTGGTTCATGTTTAGAATCCTATACAGTGGAAGCCAAAAAGTTGGAAACCAAATAGCCTCAATCCTTAAGAGTAATG